TGTTTCTCTCTTCCTCCCCCTAATGCACTTTGCGATTAAGGAGCGTGAAGCTGCCTATTTTAGTATTTTTCTAAATGAAGTTTAATCATCAACTTTAATGAACCCAGTGTATAAGAGTTAATCAATTGCATCATGCAATTGCAACTTTTTCAGTTGCCTATCTTCTGTATCTACCCATGAATATGTGTCAGACATTGCTTTCGGCAAACAACTCGATATCTCTTTTCAACTCTGCACTGTTTGTGCTTGATTCTAGAAGGCCATTCTTGAATCTAAAATCTGTCTAGAATCTAGAAATCTATCTAGAATCTAGAAATCTTCTGCTCTGAGAACATGGCTGTACATTTCAAAATTGAGGATGAACAATTCTTAAGTTGCTAAAATGCTATGCCTCTTTTGGGAGGGGAAACACAGAGGGGGGGGGCAAAAAAAAAACAGAGCAAAAAACAGCCTTCCTTGCAAGAAAAGTTGGTGCTCTCTTGAGATGGAAAAATGGTGGTGCTGGATTTGTATCTTATTGGGTAATGCAGTCTTGCATGACCCATAAATATCACGATAAAGCATCTCTACGCCCTTATCCATCGGGATCGTGTCATCTATAAGCATCTCTACACCTTATCCATAAGGATTGTGTGATCCATAAGCATCAGCACATTATCCATAAGGATCGACACCTTATCCATAAGGATCGACACCTTATCCATAAGGTAGTTGTGAATACAAGTCAAATATAGAGCAGATGAATGCAATCAAGTTTTAAGATGTATGAAAAACATGTTTCGGAGTCAAGACGCGTGATGAATACAGTCAATTTTCATACATAGAACGCATGTCTGTAAGCATGCAAGCTTGAACATGAGCGGATCAATCGACACCTTATCCATAAGCGGATCAATCGACACCTTATCCATAAGCATCAGCACCTTATCCATGAGGATCAATCGACACCTCATCCATAAGCATCAACACCTTATCCATATGGATCAATCGACACCTTATCCATAAGCATCAACACCTTATCCATAAGGATCAATCAACACCTTATCCGTAAGGATCAATCGACACCTTATCCATGAGCATCAACACCTTAATAAGTTAATATCCATAAGGATCAATCGACACCTTATCGATAAGCATCAGCACCTTATCCATAAGGATCAACACCTTATCCATAGGCACCTTATCCATAAGGATGAACACCTTATCAGTATGCACCAGCAGGTCCAGCACCTTATTGCATAAGGATCGTGTGGTGCATAAGCACCAGCACCTTATCCAAAAGGATCATGTGATCCATAAGCATCTGCTTATCAAAAAGCATCTTATCAAAACGGTTAACCTTATCAAAGAACCATCGCTTGTTCAAAAAACAACAACACTTTGTGCATAGTGTACTAGTTTTCAAAACATATGTAAATTGATTTGCACAAAAATTAACACGATACGCCAAAAATGCGCCTATAGCACTAAACAAAATGGGTATTAGTTTCGTCATTCTTGGTCTTTCATGAGACTGCTGAATAGGCCACTGGCCCGAAATTCTTCACAGCTAGCACTCCTATGGAATAGTACACAGCTGGAATAACAATGACGACTTTAACAATCTGCTGCGATTCTTTTTTTGGGGTAACTTCAGTACAGTCACAAAAACAGTTTGAAATTACACTTCGGGGATTCTCCCGAACATAGCACACCTCCACACAACCCTACTGGACTGGAAAGCTAGCATGTATACATTTTTTATTTTTTATTTTTTTTTAATGGCAGCCAATGCCGTATGATTCAGGCACTCCGGCCTGCTTCATACGACGACTAGCGTGTATACATTGCCCGAAGTGCAATTTGAAACTCTTTTTTGCCCAAAGTGTATTTTGAAACTCTTTTTGTGACTCCCGCGTACTTTTCCCTCTTGAGGTGCTGCTGTATTTCTATTGACAATTTGTTGAATTTGACATAACATATTAGTGGTATGGATGAAAAAGAATTGATCACCTGATGTTTACGAATTCTTGATTAGATCAATTTAATAATTTATATGTCGATAGATATTCCACTGTGATTGGAACTTGGAATTCAACTTAGTGAAGTTGAATCTGGAATGTAATTTATTTATTTATTTTATTTTATTTATTTATTTATTTATTTATTTATTTATTTATTTAAGTTGTACACGTTCAAGGTAGGGCAGTTGGCATTTCAGCTCAAGAGCGCAGGTACCATCCCACCTCATCTCAGGGTTAATGGCTAAGAGCATCCCGCACCAGTAGTCATTTACGGTACCTAGTACTGTTCGTACGTTCATAATGGCGAGTTACGTCTTCTTGAGTGATTGGATATTTTATGTGTACAATATTATAATCCTTTAAGTTAATTATCAAGCAATATCAATGCAAGCCAACCTTAAGGAAGTTTAATACTAAGGTGTCAAACAAAAAGAAAAATGTCATGTGCGTCCTAGCTTTGAATTGATTTTTTGAAGTTTTGTTTTTGTATTTTTCGGATTTTTTCCTAATCTTTTTGTAGTAGCAAAGTCCATAAATAGATGCAATCAATAAATTTCAGTTTAGATATTGTACTATTTTAGTATTTTTTATGTTGTATATGTTATAGGTACGTACCATGAAGTAGTATGAACTATGTATGAGGCACTCATCTTGTCGGTGTCCGCAGATGTCGATTTTGACAGAGGAAAAGTTGCGTGGTGTAGGCTTTGGATATCGAGCCAAGTATATCACAGCAGCAGTGAACAAGCTAAAAGCCAGTGAGTGAAAGAGAGCATGGTCATCTTTCTTCATCCCATACCTCCTCACCAATTTGATTCAATCCCGAATTTGAAATTTCCCAACGCATTTCCTGAATTTTCCTCACCCAAGCAACCATGTCCTTCTTGCCTGGTTATCCTCCCTTTTTTTTGTTCAATAATAATTTGGACAATTTCTCGATTTACAAGTACCATCCTTGGGAAGGGGCCTTGCCTTGTTTTCCACAGCTCCACTCTCCAAGCAATCTACATTTCCTGGACTCTAGAAGAAAGGAGAAGAAGAAGAAGAAGAAGAAGAAGAAGAAGAAGAAGAAGAAGAAGATGGATGCCGAGCAGAAGAAGAAGAAGAAGAAGAAGAAGAAGAAGAAGAAGAAGAAGAAGAAGAAGAAGAAGAAGGGGGAGGAGGAGAAGAAGAAGAAGAAGAAGAAGAAGAAGAAGAAGAAGAAGAAGAAGAAGCAGAAGAAGCAGCGACGGGAGGAGAAGAAGAAGGAGAAGAAGCAGGGACGGGAGGAGAAGAAGAAGAAGGAGAAGAAGGAGAAGAAGCAAGGGGAGGAGGAGAAGAGGAGGGGGGGACTGAAACTGGAAAGCCAGTAATTGTTTAGGTGGATGCACTCTGCACGCAGGAGGAAGAAGAAGAAGAAGAAGAAGAAGAAGAAGAAGAAGGAGGAGGAGGAGGAGGAGGAGGAGGAGGACGAGGAGGACGAGGAGGAGGAGGGTTGCACTTCTGTGTGACATTTCTTCAAAGGTGTATTCTCTGTGTGAGTAAAGACTTATACATCTATGATTTGATGTAAGAGGGATGAAGGAGGAGGAGGAGGAGGAGGAGGAGAAGGAGAAGAAGGAGGAGGAGGAGGAGAAGGAGGAGGAGGAGGAAGAGGGGGTGATTGATACAGGAAAGCCACTCATTGTATAGGGAGGCGCATAAGGCCATGCATAGTTTTGGAGGTGGGGTCTGTGTGGGGTTATCATTGTTTAAAGGATACCACTGTGTTTGCCCCCTTTCCCCGCTAAAGAATAGTTTACTTGTGCTGAAGAAACAATCAGTGAACTCTCCCATGTCTCTTTTGGTCCAAGTTGCCTGATAAACACTTCCGTCGTCTACCTCCTGCTACGTCTGCTGTTTTATCGCGTGCCCCCTCACCTCCTTCCGAACCTCCCTCCCTTGGTGCTTTCTTCTCCTTTCTGAAGGGGTATATCCTTAGTCGAAGCTCAAACTTATCATCTTTTCATTTCTTGTCAGTTTCTCCTGCTTTGTTGCAGCAGGGTTATCTTTCAGGCAGTGGCAGCTAGGAAAAAAGGTTTTCATCGCACCGCTTGATTGCTGTTATAGTCTAATCCTCAACATTGAAAACTCTGTAATTTCAATAATTTGATGAAAATTTGAAAATTCATTAATTTCAATCTTTTGATGACCCTGTTCTCTCTCTCTCTCTCTCTCTCTCTCTCTCTCTCTCTCTCTCTCTCTCTCTCTCTCT